ATATATATATATATATTTTCAAAGATAGAAAAAGCTGCAAATGTTTTTGATTATAACGAGGATTTTTTTTTTCTTTATATACTCCATTCTGTACATTTCATTAGTTATTTTACTAGTATTTGTGTATATAGTCATTCTCCATACATACATACATATAGTATTATAAGGAAACGTATATTGTAAATACATGCACAATATAATATAAATGAAGAACAAATATATACATACATATACTGGTAAAAACAAAGACACTAGATGGATCAAATGCGAACTCTACACACCATAAAAAAAAGTGTGTGTGTATATATATATATATATATACACACACACACAGGTTTCCTTGTCATAATTCAATATTTATGCATGGAGAAAGAATATATAGACATACTGGAAAATATGCACACAGTACACAAGAAAAGAGGAATGATGACACCCCAAAAAGATACATAGGACATAAAAAGATAATAAAGATATCCTTCTCTCTATCCCTTTCTCAGACCAAATTTAATTGTTTTATTACCCCTCAACTAGAGGAACATTTTTCAGCCAGGGGGAAGGTCACAATAGCTGAAACTCATGTAGCAAAATATAGAAAGTGTGTGTATATATATATATATATATATATATATAAATATATATATATATAATATAAAAATGTTTGCAAATCTTTTTCAAAAATGTTTGCAGCTTTTTCAAAAAATATACACTTGGAACAATTTTATATATATATATATAAATAAAAAGAAAGAACAGTAAGATATAAAATCCGGTGTTCTTATAGATATTTTTATTTTTACAAAATAGTGCTCAATGTAAATTTACAGAGCATTAATATTATAAATTAATTGATTTAAAATATGGTTTTTTTCGCTACACAGTTCCAACCATGTTTCAAAAATAGAAGCTAAAAACCCAGAATTTAATTTTGCAATTAAATTAAAAGCATTAGTTCCATTTCCTCTTCAAGCGAATTTTGGAGTAACTTTTAAAAATTACCGGGTTTTAAAGACACAGCTAAAATCACGTTTCCATGGTTACAGAATATTCTACTCAAATTGAACAAGGGGTGTCTAGATTTTCCTTATGTCAGTATCATTGTATCAGTTATTAGCTACAATTTGGTAAGGAGGTATTTTACAAAATCTGACCAAATTCTGAATGAATTCTTTTTGGTGCTAAAAAGTTTCCTCTGCGCTAGAATATCTGCACACACACAACTTTTCAGCCTCCCTAAATCCCACAAAACTAGTATCCCAACATCCTGTTAGCTCAGGAATAGATAGTGCCACCCCATAAACTGGTGAAAGCCATAACTAAAATTCTAACACCTCTCCATGAAACAATCAGTTCATCTCAAAGAACTCAGGCAGCCTAGATATAAAATCCCTCTACACCAACATCCGATTTGAAAAAAAAAAAAAAAAAAAAAAAAAAAAAAGGTAAATTTCCTAAGAAAGTATCTAACACAATCAGAGATAATAAAGCTCTTTCTACCAACAGCTAAAATAATAAAAACCTGCCATCTCATCATCAATTAATGCCACTTGACATTGCATAAAGTAGTTTGTGTGTGTATATATATATATATATATATATATATATATATATAAATAAATTAATTTAGCCATTATATTCTAGGGAATATCTGTCTAAAACAAGTACACAATTCTTTCCTTTTAAATAGTGCATATTGTGTCTATTGGTTTGTACACCCAATAGAATTAATATCAATTATATAAAAGGTAAAATAAAGCTGAGAGTTCAACACCTGGCCACAGCAGAATTGGGACAAAAGCTTGGAGGATTGACTTGACTTACAAAGGGGAATTAACCGAATTGGAGAGATCTAAAGGCATGGTACATAGAATTATGAAATTAGAACAATCTAATCCTCTGGACTAAAAGAATTTGGTTCAAAATTCCAACAAAATTCGCCTGAAGAAGGCCGGAGCATGCAACAGCAAAAACATTATGAATATGGTAATAAAGACGAGGCCCACAATAATTACAATACCTCATCTTAGAAATATAACTACCAAGCCAAACTAACTTTTGCCAACCAGATTTATAAAGGACCCCCACCCACCAGTTGAAGTCAGTTAAATAAATATTTGTTTATGTTTCAATTCTATTCCTTTTCTTTGAAGTGTTCCAAATTTTCTGATAAATATTCCAATTTATAAAAGACTAGGCCCAATCAAAGTCAATTAAATAAACATTCATTTATATCTTCAATTTTTTTCAATGTGTTTCGAATTTTATGATAAATATTACTAAGTAGCTGAGGTACCCAGCTGCAATTGTATAATTACGCCCCACTGTCTAAAAATGTCTGCCTGCGTCCCCCACTTGCATGCATCATCTGTTGGTATACCAAGCTAACCCTCCCATCATTTTTATGGTATGTCTTTTGCAAGTGTTTGATTGTGCTTAATAAAGGAATTTCATCGATAAAAACTTCTTATGGGGTCATTGCTCAGGGTTAAATTATTTCAATGCTTTAGATATTCAGTAAATTTCCTATGGCCATAATAAATTTCGAATAGTATGGCATTGTTTACAAATCTAATGAAACAAAAACAGAGATGAAGTGTCAGAGCTTGATTCAACTGCAAGTGCATGAATGCCCCCCCCCCCTTCACATGTTTATTGTAAAGCTGGGGTTACTAAGAAGTTTTCCTTTTTAATGCTTCAATAATCCTTTTCAAACAATCTTTGCATCAAAATGTTGTTCAAATGCCAATTTAGGATTTCGGACATAGTTTATCACAGATTTTGTCTTAACTGAAATAATCTAAACCAAACATTCACAAAAGACAATTTGTGTGCCATATGTAATTAACATGGCTAATTTGGAAAACATTGGATTAAAAACTAGGAAGTTATAGCAGAAAAATGGGCTTTTTGAACAGTTTTTCATGTTTTTTTTGTTATCTGCAAGGAAGTGAGCAGGACTAAAACCACACTATATTTCTTGCATGATGGCAAATATTTTGCAACTTATTCAAAGAAAATCAGATTAAGAAAAATGACAAAGTTATTCAAGTTTTTATCTTAGGTAGTACAAGAAAAAAAAAAAAAAAAAAAATTTCAGTTTTTTTTTTTTTTGCAATTTTTTGGGTGAAGATAACGTTACAGGAAAACTATTAAGCACTGTACATAAACCTCGTAACATGAGCTATGTTTTGCATTAAGTGCAAAGGACATCAGTTCATCCAGTAAAAATTTTTGTTTGTGAGTAACTTTGCCTTGGTTTTGCAAAAAGCTGTACACACCTTCAGTTTTATTGATTTTTCTGCCAAATGCAGGTCAGGAATTTGTCAGGAGATTGAAAAGTTGGTCTTGAACAAACTTGGTAACTTTTCAACCTGTGTGTACCATTTCATCAAAATCAGTAGAGAAATATGGACGTGCATAAATAGCTTACACACACACACACACACACACACACACACACTTGTTTTATAGATATAGATATTGCAAATTCACAAACCAATGCACTAGTGGATAAATAGGTTTGTGAATTTGATGAGATAATGGTTGAGAGTTCAAATACTGGTTTGAGCAGTGTGTACTTAGTGGAAACAGGTGAGTGATAACTGAACAGTACTAAATAAAATAAGAATTAGATGATATCCTTAGACATGAGAAGCGGCATAAGAACAGTCTACCTACCTCATACATTAAATGAAGGGTTCAGTTTCGACTTCCCTGTAGATTACCCAGATTGGTATGCACCCGATGAATAGGGTAGGTCAAATATGAAAGCACGGTATTGTACTCAATTTGAAAGTTGAGGTTTGATATGATAAATAATGACAAAATATTTATTTCCAAATTGTTACCAGTTTTTGAGGAAACGAGTTTAGAGATTTAAGTTTAGGTTCAAAATCATAGCATTGGAATTTCATTCCGATGATCAGTGAAAACCTTATAGCACAGCTTTATAAAATTTATTATTTACTGAAGCTTTACAAATTACAAGATGCATGGCACAAGAACATTAATACTAAATCATTGTGTCATCAAATAAAACCTTCATTTACTTCAAAGGGAAGTTATACTGAACAATTTGGCTATATTATGATGTAATATGTTATAGTTCTAGTAGTTTTAGTTCAATTTTCAATAAATAATGCAAATTTAAAACATTTCATCTTATAATTTGTGCCCAGCAAAATTATGATGTTTTGTACACTTATCTATTTTTTGGCTTTATTAATTATGATCTAACAAATATTATTCATTGAGCAGCCATTTTTTGTGATCTTTTACATTTTATTTTTTTACTTATTAAATACAGTGAAGAAAAATTGCATATTTTGCTTGTGGTGATTCATAATTATAATTCTGGTTTGAATATATTTTCCATTCAATTTATATAATACAAAAAATATCAACTATTATTGGATTATTCTTGAAATAGTAAAAATTTTAAGTCTGTCTAACCTGAGGAAATTACGCATTTCTGTACATTTTTTTTCAGATGATCTTTAAAACTAAATGCTCAAAAATTGGTAAAAGCTATGAATCTAATTTTTGGTGTCAGTACTTATGCCATCAAACCCCACCTTTCACACCGAGTGCAATGTTGATTTTTCTAAAAAGAGTGAAAAATCAAACTACCCTACTGAGGAAAGTCAGAGGGTACCATGGCTAAAATGTAGTAATAACAACAAAGATGAAGCCAATAGTTTGAATCGAGTGTAAATAATTACATGCTTAAGTACATTGTTTTTTCCTGAAATGGGAGATGCACCTGATAAGTCTATGTGTCTTGTAAGATGCCAAATATATCAGGCATCATACTATGCTGTGCATTCTTAGGATTTATACCATTCTAGTTGATCTGTGCCAAGATATCAATGCTGATTCTCAAGCACCCTATACTTGGTAGTTTAGCCAAAGTTTTCTACCCTTATTCACCCCCCCAACTTCCACCGTTTGGACTTGGGCTGATCAAATATCAATAATTTTGATTCATATAAGCAGCAACTTACTAAATTTAATGGGAATTTCAACAAGGCAAGTGATTTGAGGGGGACAGTCGCCAAAAATATCCTTTGGTATTTTTCCGGTCAGGGTCAGCTGATCTTTAACAAAGCTGGTCTCCATTGTGTAAAGGTCTGACCAATGGGAGAGTGTGGAGTTCTCTTGGCCCTCATCCTCTTCTCCACCAGGGGCAAAGAGTCTCACAAAAGCCCGATTCATCTCTGGATATTTCTCAGGATTCAGAGGTTTGATCACCACATGAAAGGGAGTATCAATGTTTAGAGTACCAAAAGGTTCCTAAGAAAAAAAAAAAAAAAAAAAGAGAAAAATAGGGTACAAATTAGAGATTTTATTTTTAAGCAAGGCAATATAACACTGACCTCTCATTCTAATAAATGTATTTACCAAAATTACACAAAAAACATCTTGAAATACTAAAGAGTAAATTTATTCAATAAAATCACCATTGGATTCTGAACTAGAATGTTGCCATAATCCTTGCCTTCTGTTCATCTTTGTTGTTACAAGGAGTTTTGTTGGTCTCTTGCTTTGTAGTTCAGTATTATCCAGATGAGGGAACTCTGGTGGGGTATAATGGTCAGCAATCTAATCTCACTACATCAATTACAATGGAGTAGCAAGTTCGAACCTCACTGGATGCTCCATACTTCCAGCCTTGTGACACATCTAAGCTACATATAGTAAATCACTATTGGGAACTTCGACATGATGTAATAATTAGCAAGTTTGTTCCACCTTATCATTTCTGACTGAGTAGTGACTTTGATACTCACTGCATGCTACATACTTACAGCATTGTACCAGATTTAAGCTATGCTTAGTAAATCATTAGTTTGAACAAGATCCTTCTAAAGATGAAATGGTCACAAGTTTTTCCATTTTATCATTTGATTACTCACTATTAATCAAAATATACTCATTTTTCATATGGCTGGCATTGACACACACTATATATATATATATATATATATATATTACTAGCAGTAGAGCCCGGCGTTGCCTGGGGATGTAACAGTAAGAGATAGATCAAGTATTGGCCATCATAAAGACTGAAAAGTAAAATTAACAAAGATTATTGTTTAAGGTTGATGGACATAGATGTCTTAATTATTTTTTTTTTTTACGAATTGGTCAAACCCAAACAAAAACATTGTTTTCAATCGTTATGAGTCTACCGATTGAATAGAATTTTGTCTTGTAAATGGAATTTTTAAAGCATTCTGAATGTAAAAATAAAGAAAAAGTATGCAAGTCAATAAGAAACACTACTTGCCAAAAAAAAAAAAAAAAAAAAAAAAAAAAGTGAAGCTTTGTTGAAATCGGTTGAAAAATGTAGAAATCCGATCCCATATATAAATGAACACACACACAAAGAACCTGGGTTTTATAATAAGTATAACTTGATATGAATTGTCCCCCTTTCATTCTGGCAACAGAATCGTGTTTTAAAATTGATTTCGTGCAAAAACAATTGTGTTTTTCCAATTTTTGGTGCTGTCAGAACCATCGCAAGGTAATTCTATGCAGTCCTGTGAAGTTTTGTTGAAATCGGTTGAAAAATGTAGGACATCCGATCCATGATATAAATGTACAGACACATACACAATCTGCATTTTATAATAAGATATATATATATATATATATATATAAGGCCTGTACACATGTTTGGGTATCTGCACTGATTTGCGGTCATACCTAAATGTGTGAGGCAACGCTTCAGCGACATCTTCAAAAGTGACATGAGGGTGATGGACATAGACATCAAGGGGTGGCAAGATGTTGCCAATGATTGCTCATGTTGAAGACATGATTTACACAGAGGGCTGGAGCAAGGAGAGAAGAAATGGAGATTTGTCACTGGGAGAAGTGTACACGAAGAAAAGAGAAAACAGCAACATTAGGGGGGGGGGAGCTTCTTTGCAATCGAGACAGTCACTCCAGTAATAACAGATGGTTGCTGCTATCAGCAGGTGAAGCATAACTTTTTAGGCACAGATCCATTGTCTCGAGATGACACACACACACACATATATATATATATATATATATATATATATATATATATATATAGAGAAAGATGAGGTGGTTAAATCATCTCAATTGCACAAAAATGAAAATAACACTGACATCTCATTTTAACAGATATATTTACAAAAATTGTTGAAATACTAAAGAGTAAATTTAATAAGATCTCCATTGGTTTCAACCATGGCCTCCAGATGACTTTGGAATCTCCTGCAACTCCTTTTGTTTAAGTTGGCGAATGCTGCCATAATCCTTACCTTCAGTTTATCTTTGGTGTTACAAGGAGTTTTGTTAGTCTATCACTGAACTGTGCCCCTCACATAATAATCAAAGGGGTTGCAGTCTAGGGAGTTAGATGGCCAAATGTAAGGGGGTGACATGGTCACAGAAATTCTCTGATGACTGGGTTCTCCTGCTTGGGTGGCACGGTGCAGTCAGGTTGCCAGAAATAGGGTCTTCCAGCAGCCACCCTAGTGACCCAGGGCAGCATTACCTCCTGAAGGCACTTGATATAGGCCTCCGTGTTTTAGTCTGAGGCCCTCATCACCAAATTCAGGAGATCTTATAAGAATTATCAGAGTGAGTTTTCCAAGCTCTTGTACCTTTGTAATCACCATTAGTCTTATCCAACTCCTGAATCCTCAGCACTATCCTCAGATTAACACCCAAACACTCTGAAATGTTCATATTGGAACTTCTGGCATTTTCATCATTACTAAAATGAATGCATAATGGATATTTTTGAAGTGTTAATGTTGATATTAGCTGTTTCACTATCAGGAAACATTTGACGAGCTGATAAAACTAATAATTTCACTATTTTAAACAAACATAAGTACCACTCAAAGCTACAACCCATTTTGGATGATGATAATAAATTTAAAAAGTTAACCAAAAACACCACCTCCCAACTTAAAAACCATATCAATAAACTTATTACTGCTAACATTGCTGACACAGGATCCTATAAATTTCAAAAGATTATAGGTGACTATCAACCTGGCTACTTTTATGGAAATGTAAAAATCCATAAAAAAGATCATCCTTTCCAACTTATCATTTAATAAATACCTACACCAGTATATTACCTTTCAAAAACTCTTAAATTAATTACTTGCTACCGCCCAAGTAAATATTGTATTAACTCCTCAAATGAATTTATACAAATTCTTCATACTGCAAAACCAAACAATTGCATCTTTGGATGTACAAAATTTATTTACTAATGTTTCTGTCCATGAAACGATTGGCATCATTATCCGTGATGTATACAATCATACTTCTCTCCACCCCATCAATATTAAACCCACTATTTAAAAAAATATTAACATGTACCACTTAAGTACCTTTTTATGACCCCCTAGGTAATATTTATACTCAAATAGACGGTATTGTGATGGGATCTCCTTTAGGCCCCCTTTTTTCTAATTATTATATGGCACATTTAGAAAATAAAATACTGAATGACACTAATAAACCCCTAAATATGTAAAATACATAGATGACATTTTTGTTTTAGCTAAAAATATTGATTGAGTTACACAACTTTAAAACAAATTTATAAGCCACACTGTCCTCAAATTTACATAACTTAATAAAATTCCATTCCTTGATGTATTTATTGATTCCAGCACACAAATTTACTACTTTTCTATATAGAAATCCAACTGGCATTAAACTGTCTTTTTAATTATAATAGTGTATTCCCCCAACGATATAAGTTACATGTTATATAAAAAATTTGATTCAATGCACACAAATATCTTCTTCCAAAACCAAATTACATAACCTTAGACAAACACTCGTTAATAATGGATTTCCTAATTCTGTCATTGACCAAAAAATTAAAATGTATCTCAGTAAAGTTAATAATAACTCTAAAAAAAAATTAATAATAGTATACGTCAAAATAAACAACACCATTAACATATACTATTGTAACCAAATGTCTAATAATGACAAACATGATGAAGCAACACGCAAAAACATAATAGAAATGTTAAACCCATTAATAATAACAAACAAGTTAATGTCATAATTTCTTATAAAAAATTTAAAACAATTGACCTCATAGCCTCTAATAACCCTACAATCACACAACTAAATCCTCGACAACAAAAAACAATATAGCCGGAATGGGCATGTAAATTGATAAATTTACATGCCCATTCCGGCTGTATCTCTGATACTAATAATAAACCCATTACATATAATAGTTTTACTACAACTATGCTCTTCTGTAGACTTACCTGTCACCTTTCTCGTCTTAGTTCTGTTAAACAAAACTTAGAAAAACATAGCCATGTACATAATATTAGACAGATATTAGTTGATAACACAATAATATTCACACATACACACAGTAAAAAGAACCTTCAGATTTTGGAAGCCACCTACATTAAAACACAGCAACCCACACTCAACAAAATTACATTTCAAATTAGTCACAATACATTGTATTGCATCTAAACATATGGTTATGTTGCTAATTTTTTGGTCACTCACATGGTATGCAGTCATAGAACCGCATCTTGAACTTACAACCTACATCTGCTATTCTGTGACTGTTATTGCATAGCAATCTTCTGTCAACAGAAGATCATCTTTGATAGTGAATATCTTGGTTAAAATATTACCACTCTGAAGATGGCTCATGTGAGCTGAAAGGTTTGATCAAGGACCAGCTTAATAGAAAAATATCCAAATATTTGACAAATTTTTATTTTCACCCAAAATTAAAGCAAACATATGGCGTTTAGAGCAGCTCATGATCAGGCATTCATTGTCTGTTATATTTAACAACATATATATTTAACAACATATATATTTAACAACATATATATTTAACAACATATATATTTAACAACATATATATTTATATATATTTAACAACATATATATTTAACAACATATATATTTAACAACATATATATTTAACAACATATATATTTAACAACATATATATTTAACAACATATATATTTAACAACATATATATTTAACAACATATATATTTTAATTATATATTTAACAACATATATATTTAACAACATATATATTTAACAACATATATATTTAACAACATATATATTTAACAACATATATATTTAACAACATATATATTTAACAACATATATATTTAACAACATATATATTTATAACATATATATTTAACAACATATATATTTAACAACATATATATTTAACATATATATTTAACAACATATATATTTAACAACATATATATTTAAC